ACACGACCAATACTCACTCATCTCAATCCACATGGACAAGGAGAACCGCAACTTCGACTGGGACAACACCAAGATCCTGGGACAGGCTAGGCAGAAACAAGCACAAGAATTCCTGGAAGCATGGCACTCCACGAAGCAGGCTATTAATAAACACATTGAACTCGACCCCACATACATTCCGCTACGGAGGAAACCCAGAAGTGAGGCAATCCATCGCAATGGACCCCAGTTTAACAGCCAGGCAGGAAAACACACCAACGCTTCATCAGAGGCTGCACTGAGGATGTTACCAAGCACGGTAACGAAACGTCTGCAGAACAACAAACCAGCTCGGTGAACCAACCAACCTCAACACCCACAAGCCGAGCTACAAATCTACTCCAAAACCTTAGAATCAATAAAGATTTTTATATAATGATTGATATGGGTAATTTCATGGATTTTACAACTGATGCTTCTGTTCACATCGGTTCAATCATTTGACACCATTAGATAATGCTAAAAATATGCAGCAGGTTGGTCAGCACCTATAAAACTGAAAAGGCACGATAACAGTTATAATCATTCATCAGATGGAAAACAGAAATAATTCCATTCCTAAGTAAAATTGAAAATGGCAGAAAAAGGCAACAGGTAAGAAGGATGCTCTGATCATCGGTTTACTTGGTTAAATAGTCTGCAAACAGTATAATAGAAGATTTCTAAATAATATGAAAAATAATTTTTTGATTGGCAATAGAAAGAAATTTTTAAAATGCACAGTAGACTGGTGACATGGGACACAGTAAATTTTCTCTTTTGAAAAATGCAGACTCTGGTCCAATCCCACTCCAGCAGAACTGTGCACTGACAGCACCCAAACTGCAATTGAAAGATTATTGCCACAGATCAGTCATGTGCATTGTATAGTAGCCCATTCAGAAATAACACTGCTGGGAGACAGAGAGACAGTAAACTGCTTGTCACTTGACCAAGGAATGATGGATGGTAATATTCTAATGACGGACAGAGAAATACTGAAAAAGAGGCAAATGTGGCACCATAATCTCTAAGAAAATGCTTTAAATATCTCAAGAAAGAATATCAGTAGCAATACATTTGCACAGTTCAATTGAATTTCATTTTTTAAGTAGAATTGAAAATTAAAGAATAATTTACAATTTAAAAAGAAATGTCGAAAAGGGCTTTATAAAGCACTAGCCAAAGCATAAATGTCAGTTATAGGGCAAAAACAGTTTGATAGCATCTTTAAAGAGATAGCTCCTCAATAGGGTTTTGAGGGCGTGGAAAGATGTGAGTGGGTATACATGTTGTGAGAGAATCCCAATGATTAAACATCATGACTGAAGAAATAGCTAGCACAGCCAAGGGGGTGAACATGGAGCAAGAATCCAAAAGTGTGCGAGAAATAGCTGGTACACACAAGGAATGATGAATGAAGACTGCTCAGGTGGGATGGAGTGAAGTCATGGTCTGTTTGCTAATGACGCATGGAATCTCATTTCAGAGATTAGTTTATGCAATTACACCTGAGAAGGACCAGCATCTGGTGGAACATGGAGAACTTCGCCAGCTTACTGTGAGTAACAGCCAATGAGAAATAGACTTCAGCAATATTATGTGTAATAATGTCATGTAAACCAAAACAACTTTGAAGGCGGAATATGCATGTCAAAAGAGCAGAATTTATAAAGCAGACAACTGTTTATGTTTATAAAGCAAAATAATACAGATACTGGAGATCTAAACTAAAAATAGAAAATGCTGGAGAAACCTAGCAGCAGTTCTGGCAGCATCTGTGAAAAGAGCGAAATATAGTTAGTGTTTTGAGTCCAACGGCTCTTCTTCAGGACAGCGGGGGTATAGAAAACCATGGTTTTTATACTGTTGACAGAAGTGGAAGAGAAGCAAGTGGAACAGATGCCCACAGTCCCAAAAAGAAAAGGGAACAGGATGGCATATGGTTGTAAAGGAGCAATCTAGATGCAAAATAGGTGTGAATTATAGGTGCAACTAGTTAAAAATAGGTCCACTCTGCTGAGAGAAAACCCATGCCATCAAGGTGCAAGCGGAATGGTGGAAGTCAGTGTAAGCAAGATGGAAAACAGTGTTCATGCTCTGAAGTTGGTGAATCCAATGTTGAGTCCTCAAGGCTAGAAAGTGCCTCGGTGGAAAATGAGGTGCCATTCCTCCAGTTTACATTGGGTTTCACAGGAAATTGCAGAAGGCCTAGGACAGCAATGTTAGTACAAGAGCAGAATGGTGCATTGAAATAAAAATAAAAAGTGCTGCAGAAACTCAGCAAAACATAATGAGTCCATTGACTCTTCATTAGAACCATTCTCTCTACAGATGATGCCAGAACTGCTGAGTTTCTGCAGCACTTTCTATTTTTGTTTCATATCTCCAGCATTTGTAGTTCTTTCTTTTTATTCTGGTATATTGAAATGGCAGGCAACTGGAAGGTCAAGAGATAACAAGGTGCAGAGCTGGATGAACACAGCAGGCCAAGCAGCATCGGAGGAGCAGGAAAGCTGACGTTTCGGGCCTAGACCCATCTTCAGAAATGTGATTTGCCCTATTTTACTTCTTTCACTATATCATGTCAAACCAAAAAGGAAATTCACATCTTGTTTTTATCCATAGTACAGACATGAATCAAATTGTAAAACATTTTTTTTTTATCCAAGATCAGAAACTATTTCTGAAGAAGGGTCTAGGCCCGAAACATCAGCTTTCCTGCTCCTCCGATGCTGCTTGGCCTGCTGTGTTCATCCAGCTTTACACCTTGTTATCTCAGATTCTCCAGCATCTGCAGTTCCTACTATAACTGGAAGGTCAAAGCTGTTTTTACAGATAGAGCAAAGCCGTTCTGCAAAGTGGTCACCTATTCTGTGTTTGGTCTCTCCAGTGTCAAGGAGACTGAGTAAATCATCGCTTCACTTGTATGTATGTATAAAAGAGATAATATATTATCACAAATGGTTTATGAAGCATGAATAACTGGTTTAATAGTCCTTCACGGTTTCTGATCTTGGACAAAAAAACCAATGTTTTACAATTTGATTCATGTCTGTACTATGGATAAAAACAGGATGTGAATTTCTTTTTTGGTTCAACATGATATAGTGAAAGAAGTAAAATAGGGCAAATCACATAACAAAGAAAAGTGAAATTAACTTTAAAAGTTTCTCATTCTGCACACAAAGAGCCTAAATTTTGGAATAGAGGAGAGGTTCTTCTGTCAATTCTGTTTTCAAGTGATCTTCAGCAAGTCAGAGAAGAATTTCAGTGAACATCCAATCGACTAGATGCCCTCATTCACCGTACTCTCAGGCCATCATCCAATGCCACATCCAGCAGAGACTGGGAGTAGCCATGTGGGTGCACATATTGTAGTTTTCTGGATCAATTGATTTCATTTGTTACTCAGTGAATTATTAATGTTATAGAAAGTTTGGAGTGGTAGTGCCCGTATCTCTGAACCAGGTAGACTAGGTTCAAGTCCCACCTTCTTCAGAAGTGTGTAATAACATCTGTTAAAAAATTGATTAGAATATACATAAGTAGAAAAATTGTTGGAGTGATCTTGTGGTGCAGTGGTAGTGTCCCTACTTCTGGACCAGAAGGACTCAGTTCAAGTTCCACCTGCTTCACAGGTGTGTAATGTCTATATGAAGATTAAGTGACAAGAATATCAACGTATTACTGAAATGCAGCATACAAAATACCAGTAGAATGGGTTTCATTTTTTTAAATTCTTCCTATCCTTTCTACTAGTTTATTGAACTGTGGCTGAAAGATACATTTTTGAACTCTGAATGCCCTGACCTTTTTCTAAATCTATCCCATATAGCACAAAAGTATTGCCTGACAACATGATAGAGGCTGTCTTCAGCATGGAACCTGAGGGTCACTTCCACCATTACTGTCATGGACAGATGCTCTGTGACAAAGTCAAGTAGATTTTTCTTTGTAGTAGTTCTCTCTCCAGCTGCTACAAACCCAATCTCAAAGTTATATGTTTCAGGACTAGGTCAGTTGACAAGAGTAGGGCTACTAAGGCATTCTTGCTGTTTGGCATCGGAGCCCCCGATCTAGGTTACATTTTGTGCCCTTGCTACTCTCAATGTTTTCTCCAAATGCTGTTCAACATGGAAGATCATTGCTTCCTCAGCTGCAGGGTTGTCATACATAGTAGTCAGGGAAGGATTCTTGCTTATGTTTGACCTAATTCCATGAGGCATGCACTGCATGAGGCCTGGAGTCAATGGTGAATGGTATGACTTCTCCAGCCTTACTGTCTAAAACTGTGCTGCCACCTCTGGTGAGTCAGACCGATTGATGGGACAACATCTAGCCGGGCTTGATAATGGAGGTATCTGGTGTTAATTGAAAGATACGATTATGTCATATTGTTGCGGACAAGTCTGTACCACAGTTCACCCAGTTTTGGGAGCAAGGAGGAGCAGAGTTTAAATGGGCATGCCTTTGTCATTTCCAAACCTGATGCCTAGGCCGATATCATATAGGTTGTCTGGTTTTGTTCTTATTATTATTATTATTATCATTTTGTTTTGGAGATTTGGTACAACAAAGCTACTCGCTCAGTCATCCTAAAGTCAGTTAAGGGTAAAGCATATTGCGTCTGGCGTCACATATGACAAGATTAGGTCGACGTGACACATTTTCTTTCCTAATCAGAGTTATTTGGTCATCATACTAGCTTTTTATTTCAGCCTTATTATATCAACTGAATTTAAATTCCATAGGTGAGTGAAGATATGGGAGGGGTGGTCTTCAGTGGGAGTTTCAGCAGTAAAAGTGGTGGAGTGAGTGGGGAGATGTGGTTGGGGAGGCTGTAGTTTTGCGGTTGGCTTTCAGTGCCTCCATCCCACCCTTCCTGACTGTATAATTTTGTTGTGTGTTGTGGCTCTGTTTTGTGTACAGTATTGGTGGCACTATTGGGAAATAGTGAAAGCCGCGGGCATTTCACCTCAGAGGAGTAAAGTGAGGCCCGGCAATGCTCAGCTCCAAGCAGATGGTGAGCGTCAGGTGTTTTCATCTAAGATACAGAGGCTCCAGCCAATGCATAAGATATGTGAAGATCTACTGGAGTTTGCTGGGGGCAGTGAGGTTCTTGTGCAAGTGATGGAGGAATCCTATCATGCATGGCTCACTTCTCTCATCTATGTCCTTGATGGAGAGGATGGCAAGCCAAATGGAGAGACATGTAGAGCATACTATGGATGCAATAGTTCTAAAGGGACATACAGAGCATGGTCTTAACCATCAGGTCATTGAAGTGATAGATGGATGGGCTATCCATGGGTCTTTTTGATTCCAAGAGGTGAACACAGGAGTGAATGCGAGTCTTCAAGGGCAAAGGACAGGAATGGCACAGGCAATGCGGGCCCCTCTTAGGGTGCTTCCATGGCTAAAGACATATCCTCAGCCCCTTTGACAGTGACAAACTAGATGCTTCTCTGCTGCCCGTACAGATGCTTTGTGGTCCCAAATGTGCTCTACTACGGCTATGGTATCACAAGGATGCAGACCAAGGCCACCTAACATTATGGAACCTTCCTCCACTGCAGCTAGAGATGTAGAGGAAGCACCTAACAAAGCTATAACAAGCATATTCCCATATACATGGACTAGCACTGAGGTTCACTGGGTGGTGTTAATTTGTCACATGTAAACTTATGTTTAACAATTGAAAATATTGTTGAATTGTGCACGGAAATGATTTGTACATTTATTTGAATTTAATCATTGACATTAGGCAGCTGTTAAATCCAGTGACAGTATAGGCACTCATAAGGACCTGTATTAATAATGGCCTTTACACACAGTGATCATGATAACACATTGATCTTGAGTGTGTCTGGTAACAGGTCAGTGGTTGTCCTCTTCCACTTGGGCTTATTTGACAGGTCAATTAATCAGAGTCATAAAATTCCCTGCTGCATGGACCACTCTCCTGTCTCCTGGACAAATCTCCACTTCCATCCAGTGTCACTTCCCTCTTGAAGGTCCTCATTCTCCTCCTCTGAGGATGCAACTCATTCATTGCATTCCTCCAGCTCTGGTGCTACTCCCCTCTGGAATGCCGGGTATTGCAATGCTCAGTAGATGGTAACAAAGTGGGATATGTTTTTAAAATTTTTTTTATCAATGCCATGGATTAGGGCATCAAAGGCGTGGTGGTGAAATTTGCTGAATTTCTCCAGCAATTTCTGTTTTTCTTTCAGATTTCCAGCATTTGCAGTTCTTCAGTTACATTTTGCAAAGGATTCTAGATGTTCTGGTCACAAAAGTTAGAATTACAGCAAATGATTAGGAAAGCTAATAGAATATGTTCTTTATTATGAAATGAACTTAGAAGTTATGTTATGTTGTGCTTCATTACACAGGGCACTGATAAAAATATATCTCGTGTGCAGTTTTCAGCTCCTTATTTAACGAAGGATATCAGTGCATTGGAGGCAGTTCAAAAGTTTACCAGACTGAACCTGGAATAAGTGGTTGTCTTATGAGTATAGGTTGGACAGACTAGGCTTATTTTCATTGGAGTTTAGAAGAGTAACGGCTGATTTTATTGGCACTTATAAGATACTGAATGGTCTTGACAAGGTGGATGTGGAAACGATTCTTGTGGGTGAGTGAGTCCAAACCTAAGGGACACTATTTTATAATAGGGATCACCCTTTTAGGACAGAAATCAGAGAAACCTTTTGCTGTCAGAGGCTTTTGAGACTTTGGAATTCTGTGCCTCAAATGGCAGTGATATCTGAGTTATTGAACATTGAATAAGGTGGAGGTAGATTTTTGTTAGACAAGAAAAAAAAAACATTATTGGCAACGGATGAGAATGTGGAATTCACAACACAAATAGATCGACCATTATTTCATTGAACGACAGAGGAAGCTTGAAGGGCCAAATAGTCTAGTTCCACTCCGAATGTGCATGTTCATATATATAGCCTTGATGGTATGGATTGCAGGGCTCATTCAGATCTATTACAACCTCAAAAGTACAGTACATCTTCAGTAAACCATGGTCTACTCAATGGTGGCCCTTCCAGTCACGTGGCAACAATTATATTTGTCTTATGCTTTTATACTCAGTTGCATAAAGTTGTCAGTAACCATGACTTCAGTGGATAGCATTTTGACTCTTAGCACCTAGCGAGGATTAGGCTTAGGAGGCTTGAAGAGCTGTGGCTATTGGGGTTGTGTAAGGATATGAAAGTTATAGCACTTTTCTGTGAAACTCACAGCCTGCATGAATTGTGGTTTCACAACCTGCTAGTTAAGGGAACAAAAGCCTTTTTTGTTCGTAAAGAGGCCTATATGCTATAACGGAGACCTGATGGTCACATAAGCGCAGTAAAAGGCTCCCTGCACCTGGGGTGGTATAGGTCTAAACCCAACAGCCTGCTTGGGTTGACTGTCTTGATCTGATGTGAATGTAATATTCACTGACCAATCTGACAGTAGATTGCATCCATATCCTGCTTTGTGCAGCAGTGGATGCTGGCTGGGAGGTGCCACATAGATCTTCAGTTAATCTTGAAATAATCCAGTGACATAAGAATTGAGCAACGATTTCACCTGTATGGTGATAGGTAACTGGTGCCCCAATGTCACTTTAACCTTGTTTCTTGTTACACAAACTCCTCCATCTCCCTGGAAAGGTGCAGCTTGCATAATGTTATGGATAGGGTTCCTTCCTAATTTTGTCATCTCTCAGCTGACCTCAAAAAGAGGTATTTTTGTGGAGTATTTTAACCATTTTGAATATTGTGACTATAAGGAAATGACTTGAATGGACTTGTAAATTTAAATCAAAAGAAAGGATGAACATTTATTTTCACTATACACGAAATGCAAACATAACAAAAACTGACTTCCCTAACTCTTACAGATGTGCAGTCATACAAGAAAAAATGATTTCTAGAGATATAACATGCACTTAGATTACCACCAGGGTAATAAGAAATGCATATGTTTATTCACCCTTTAAAATGGAGGTGAAAGCATTGCAGACCTGAGGAAATCCCTTAGTTCCTTGAAGACAAAAGAGGATTTTTCAGACAAAACAGTGAATGAGTTTATGTGGTTATCCTGCAGTGAAACAAATTGGTCCCTCTTCATTGCCTGAGATGACTTTTTGAGACTGAATATGATCTCTCTCTCTCTGAGATATTGGTCTCAAACTGCCTTACTTGTGAATTAATAAGATATTGGCTCCTACTACACCCAATTTTGATTATGTGATGATGGTATTGAGGCACTCCATTGTCCGCGCAATGGATGGGAGCCTATGTAGTTGATACACAACGGGGAGTTGGTTAATATCCCATAAACACTCCAGTGTGATAAACATCTTTATTGGAAAACCAATTTTCATGGGAGTAGCAGTACGACTATTATTCTGTGAATCTCTTTCAATTAAAATGGTATGGTGTTGTAATAAAACTGACAAAACCACTTGCGTGTTTAACATAGTTGCCAGATATTTTAGGCTGGATTTTCATGGAATTCAGGAGACTGTGTGCAGGGGTGGAAATAGCAATGCAACCACATTGCTGTATTTCTGACCTCATTCCCAGGATTTATGATTTTCAGCACAGCATTTTAAGGGCACAGGGCTGATGTTGATCTTGGGCCTGCACCCAACACCCCTGACTTCACCAGCTCCATAGAAAGGATAGGCATGTTCGAATCATATAAGAAAGGAGTAGGCCATCTGGCCCCTCAAGCCTGCCCCGCCATTTAATAAAGTCATGGCTGATCTTTGAGACTCAGCTCCACTTACCCGCCCACTCACCATAACCCTTAATTCCTTTACCTTTCAAAAATTTATCTAGCCTTGCCTTAAAAACATTCAGTGAGGTAGCTTCAACCACTTCACTGGGCAGGGAATTCCACAGATTCACAACCCTTTGGGTGAAGAAGTTCATCCTGACCTCAGTCCTACATCTGCTTCCTTTTATTTTGAGGCTATGCCCTCTAGTCCTAGTTTCACCTGCTAGCGGAAACAACCTCCCTGCCTCCACTTTATCTATTCCCTTCATAAACTTATATGTTTCTATAAGATCTCCCCTCATTCTTCTGAATTCCAATGAGTATAATCCCAGTCTACTCAGTCTCTCCTCATAATCCAACCCTCTCAACTCTGGAATCAACCGAGTGAATCTCCTCTGCACCCCCTCCAATGCTAGTATATCTCTTCTCAAGTAAGGAGACCAAAACTGCACACAGTACTCCAGGTGTGGCCTCACCAGGACCCTATACAGCTGCAGCATACCCTCCCTGTTTTTAAACTCCATCCCTTGAGCAATGGCAGACAAAATTCCATTTGCCTTTTTAATCACCTGCTGCACCTGCAATCCCACCTTCAGCGATTCATGCACAAGGACACCCAAGTGCCTCTGCACAGCAGCGTGCTGCAATTTTTTACCGTTTAAAACGTAGTCCATCTTGCTGTTATTCCTACCAAAATGGATGACCTCACACTTATCAACATTGTACTCCATCTGCCAGACCTTTGCCCACTCACTTAGACTATCTATATCCCTCTGCAGACTTTCAGTATCTTCTGCACACTTTGCTCTACCACTCACCTTTGTGTCATCTGCAAATTTTGACACACCACACTTAGTCCCCAACTCCAAATCATCTATGTAAATTGTAAACAATTGGGGTCCCAACACTGATCCCTGAGACACACCACTAGGCACTGACCGCCAACCAGAAAAACACCCATTTACCCCTACTCTTTGCTTTCTACTGGTCAACCAATCCTCTATCCATGCCAATACATTACCTGTAATACCATGCAACTTTATCTTGTGTAGCAGCCTTTGGTGTGGCACCTTGTCAAATGCCTTCTGGAAATCCAGATACACCACATCCACAAGTTCTCCATTGTCCACCATGCAAGTAACGTCCTCAAAGAATTCCACCACGTTAGTTAAACATGACCTACCCTTCATGAACCCATGCTGGGTGTTCCCAATGGGACAATTTATATCCAGATGTCTTGCTATTTCTTCCTTAATGATAGATTCAAACATTTTCCCCACTACTGAAGTTAAGCTAACTGGCCTATAGTTACCTGCTTTTTGTCTACTTCCTTTTTTAAACAGTGGCATCACATTGGCTGTTTTCCAATCTGCGGGAACCACCCCAGAGTCCAGTGAATTTTGGTAAATAATTACCAGTGCATTTGCTGTTTCCCCCATTACCTCTTTTAGTACCCTGGGATGCATTTCATCAGG